GTCCTGTTCAGTAATAGCTCAGCAAATCCAGTAATTAATTCCTAAAAGCCAAATTTGGATGAACTGCATTTATACAGTCCACTTACAAAATAATGCTCTAAGGTACTGTATAATACGTCAATGAGAGATTTTTTGTTTTGTTTTTTTAGGTTTGCACAGAACCAGGCTAGCTATCTTTTCCTATTAAAGATAAACGAAGCCTACCTGTTGCTGACTGTAGCTACATATTTATCACCAGAGTGGCTAGCACCCTCTCCCATCTCTTCTTCACCCATTCTCCTTTTGATGACTCAAGATCAGCAGAGATCAGTAAGCCCTGCTCAGAAACATAATTAAATTGCTTTTGACCATGGGCTCTCATTGTTCAAAATATTTTAAGTATGACTAGGCTTTTGAATAACACAGACCAAGTCAATTTGACCTTAGCAAGGGTCTATTTAGTATGACTCAACAAAGATTGTCTCTTTCTAGCTCATCTTTAGAACCTGGCCCTAAGTTCAAGACATTTAAATGAGCCTGCAGATCAGCCCTTGAAAAAAATGTTCATGGGGGGGGGGTTGTTCAAAATTGTTCACTCAAAGGTGATTAGTTGGTAGGGCGCATGTAATCAGGCACAGGTAACAAGTCCACGTACAACTTCAGAAAAGTGACATACCCACAGTGTCATACCCACAATCTCATAGTGGATTAATGTTTTTTAGCAACCCTGCCTGTTGACTACAGCGCCTCAAGGCTCACGTGCATGTACATTCTCACACACAGACAGGCACTCAAAAGAAAGGCCCCAGATTTAGTATCATTCAACCACGAAATCGTTGAGTAACAGTATTACATTCATCTACTCTGGCTGTAGTTTTCACTCTCTGCCTCCTATACTGTAGCTGTAGAATTGCTTTTGGCAGAGCCTGACTGTTGTAAGGGTTTGGGCTAATCCAGTAACAGGCTCCTGTTTGTCAACAAAACACTGTTAAGTTGTCAGCAAAGCATGCTGCCTAACAAATCAGAAAGCCTTTAAATGTCAGTCAGCTATGCATGCACAGAACAGTGCCCACACAAAATTGGAATTGCATTAACGAGTCTTTCTGATAGCTTGACTTGAACAGAATGAGGAAAAACCAACCCAAAGTGAATTGCAGAATTTGCACTGGTGAAAACTTTGCAAGAGCTGAGTGAAATGAACAACTGTCACAGCACGGTATAGTCTGCATTCTGTAAGTGGAGAACAGGACAACAACCCCCTCCTTGTACCACCACTTGTACCTCTCACCAATGATTTCCTTTTTTTGGTTGATAAAGTTAAGCTAGTCACATCCACCTCAGGTCTTCTTGAATGAATCTATGCTGTTTGTAAATCCCTGGATGAGAAACTGAATTTTAAATTCTGACATCATCCTCCATAACAGTTATGTCTCTGTTATGACAGTTGGTGTTATCAATAAATGTTTGACTTTGAGAAGTGTAACTGAGCCTTCTGTTTGTTCATAGTCTCTGTTGGGAAAACAGCTGCTGTGCCCACGGTTCCCTCCTCTCAGGTCTAATCAGTGCACATCTTCCTTCATACAGTTCCACTTTGCTTTTCCATGTGGCACAACATATTCTTGTCATCTAACATATTTTCAGACATAAATGGTGCAACAACTGTTGTGATGGCTCATGAACACAATCTTGTGGAGATTTTGTGTAGTGGTTATTGTATCAAGTGCTTCTGAAAACCTTACCTAGTGAGAAAACCGAGGGTGAATAGCAACTTTTTGTAAACATTCAGCAGGCAAGTTTAAATGTGGAAAGTTAGAATAAAGCCCTACGTCATGATGACTATTTCAAGGTCAGCGTTGTCAAACAACATTACAATTGCTTTAAATTACAGTTGGTTTTTTGCTTAACATGTTTCCCTCCTAATGATAAATACTGTGGAGGCTTGATAGCCTGTTAGCTGATGTCAGCTGGTTTGATTGTGTGCAAAAGTTGTAATTTCAGTCAGCCAGCTCACAATACAGTAGAATGGTTTTATTAATATGCGAGTTAAGAAACTGTACAGTTAATGTTTGGTGTCCAGGCTGTGACACTTAAACCTGTACAGAGATTAGCTGGTAGCGATGATAACATTACTCCACCTCTCTTTGGGGTAAACATGAGTCCATAGGTGGATGTGGACTAATTAAAGGCTATATATAAGGAGCTGCAGTGAAAACACTGTGCAGACCACTGCAGTGAGCCGAGAGCTTAAATAGATCACCTGATTTTTAAAGAAGGCATCGGATACATGTTGCTGTCATGATTCTGTCCCATCTGCTTCTGTTCTTATGCTTTTATTTTTACATCACTTCCTGTTTCTGTTTCACCTTAGTTTTGGACTTTTTACTTTAATCAGCACTCATTGGTTTCACCTGTTTTCACCCCTTTATAGGCAGCTTTCCCCCATTGGAAAGCTGCCAGATTGTTCTTGACTCCCGTACAGACTTGCCAGTGTTCTTTTTTTTTTTTTTTGTGATTCCTGTTGTGACCTCGGATTGTTTCGACCACCAATTACTGCCTTGCCCTCCTAGATCTGTTTGCATCTGTGTATTGACCTTCGGACTTCTCTCTCTGACCTCCCTGTTTTGGATCCCTTGTTTGCCGGTATTGACCCTGAACTGTTGTTGGATTTGGATTGTGTTTTCTGGACTGTCACTGTGTATGTTCTGAGTGAGTGCAGTAAAGAGATTTTATTTACTCTATCTCGCTGCCATTAACATTGTAGGTAGCTTTATTGGCCATCCCTGACAGTTGCAGAATCAAGTATGTCACTGGGGTTAGGGTTAAACTACATTATATTCAGAGGCGTTCCTAATAGTTTGACCCTCTTATGTATGTAGCTGGGGAGGACAAAAATCTAGACACCTCTGAATATAATGTAGTCCAGTACAACACCACCTTTAACTATGACTTCAATAATAAACATATAATTAAATGTATACATTTATAATTTCACCAAAAATGGAAACATTTTGAGCTTCATAAACACAAATGTTAAAGAAGAAGTGTTGCATTGCAGTGCATACAGTGGCATTGGTGTGACTATTAAAATGGCCGGGCAGTGTAATTTCATAAGTTCAGTCATTTTTCAAGCAGAAATATTGAGACAGTGTCAAATATTCTGATTCCAAGCTCTCTAAAGAGAGGAATTCCTGTTTCTTTTGATCAAATATCATTGTAGAGTAAACATTTAATTTAACAGTAATGCCCAGTACGGATCAGTACTCCATCTACATACAACAGCTGGTGTTTGACATGGAGTAGGTTAACAGGATGGTGGGTACAGTGCAGTGTAGTGTATCTGCATCAGCAAAATACCAATTAGTACAATAAACAGTGCCCATGTGCTGTAATTAATGCATATGTCCTGTATTCTTCAAAGTTGTTTACTTCCACATCCTTGGAAAAACAACGTGTGCCTGCCTGGTCACTGGAAAAACAGGTGTAGCAACCAATGGGGAAAAATAGTCCAGTTTCAGGTCATGCCCTGCACATTTAACCACCAGACTGCTTGCTTGAAACTTTGCCTTGTATAACCTGAATGTTGCAGCTCTGTAAATGCAACAGCTCTTCTCCCATGGATATCATAGTTTAATTTGTGCATATCTGGTGTTGTAGGAAACAAACTGCTTGCCATGGTTGTGGGTACTAATGAACAAAGAAAGAGAAATGAATCTTACACACAGCTCAGTGAGGAAATTTATTGCCAAGCTTGAAGGTATTGGTTCTTTGTCAAGGTAATTGTAACTTGACAAAACCAGGTTTGTGTGCAACACTGGTAATAAATTTATTCACTAGAGCCGAGCGTGCAGTTTTCCTCCTTCTCTTTTTGTTGAAATCTATTCTGTGCATCAGTGCTACCATGACTAAAACCAAGATTAATTGCGCTCATATCTCTGGTGTGGGATCACAACAGCTGGGACACAGAAACAGACACAAACATGCACATACGCAATCAGAGTGCCTTCATACTACACCCGTTTTTGCTCACGGTACACAGTGTTCGGTCTCAAAATGAATCTGCATGGATCAGAACAAGACCAGTTTAATTCACAATGAGGCAGGCTTCAACGTTGCTGCCATGCAGCATGCACTTCCTCTCAGGTTGAACCAAACATCTCTACATCTAAACAGTAGATTAAAAGAAAAACGTAATTATAAAGATGTTCGCTGTGAATACCGAGAGCACAAAGGCAAGTGTGCGTATATGTTTGTGCATACACAAATCCAAATGGTTGCTGATGCACCCTGTTGCTGAGATGGTGTGTGTATGCATCTCCATGTTTATCCTAACTGCATACCGATGATGTTGATAGGGCTTGTTCACCCCTTGAAGGAAGCACAGGCTCTGTCTGTGTCAGACATTAAAGTGGAGAGTGAGCGCCGTGGTATATTGGCATATTACAAAGCTGACAGGAGGAGAAGCTGATGCATATTGCACCTCTGTGTACAGAAAACATAAGAGCACTGAGGCTATCGCCTGCCTTCTCTTTTAACAGCATCAATTCTACCTCCCCAATCACCTCTCTGTCTGTCAGCCACGATGAGTGGAGAGAGGCAAAGGGAGGGGAGGAATAGATATAGAAGAGAGTCATACCACTGTTTGAATATGCAGTCACTCTGGCAGCTACATGACTGAGCAACATCATCTGAGCAAGGGAGAGTTAGTGATTTTGCATGTGTGAGTGGGTGAGATCATGATCATGAGTGAGAAAGGCAAAAGAGAGAGAGGGAAAAAGGAAGGAGAAGAGGGAGGAAAGAGCGCAGCTTTGAAGCGTTCCATCATCCACCAAACTCCTGCATCTTCCCTCCTCCTCCTCCTCTTCCTGGAGAGAGAGAGAGCAACAGAGAGAGGAAGAGCAAGAGAGAGAGAGAGAGAGAGAGAGCGCAACAGAGAGAGAGCGAGAGTCGCGCTTACAAGCCAACGGAGAAGAGACGTCAAGAGGAGGACCTACAAGGGGAAAAAACGAAATCCTTCACGCTCTTCGTGCATCCTGTGGGCAGTGAGGGGCAAAGAGGATCCGGCTGGCATATTTTCTGCCCTGCTTCCCTGCGATTTCTGTGGCTGTATCACAGTGCGTGGAGTGCAGGAAGAGCTGCAGAGAGCTCGATCAGTGACATCGCTCCGCAGCAGAGGAAGATTGCCATAGAGGACCCGGGATGCTCAACAACCTGACTGACACAGAGGAGGGGGACGGGGGAGCACAAAGCCAGGGTGAGTGCTGGGTGTCGTCCAGTTACACACACACACACACACATGCATATGAGCAAATATGCATGCTGTGCATCTACCCACGCAAATACATACAGTATTAGGAGAGTATCTCACAAAACAAGCTAAATGTGTGATTTAGGTTTATACAGACAACCTAAAGGGATTGAATGGTCACTGGAAGAGGTGGCGTGTGTGTGTGTCTGTGTGTGTGTGTGTGTGTGTGTGTGTGTAAGAGCATCGTACGGTGGTCGGCCTGCTTGCTTCCTCTGCTGCTCCTCATACCGCAAGGCTGTTGTGACAAGAATAGTAATGGGCTCACTCCATACAGTGAATGGTGAGCATAAGGGCATTACAGCTTCGTTCAGAACACATGCATGTACACACTAGCACTATACACACACAGAGAAACACACAGGTGCACAGCATTTTCTGGAGCAGCCGTCTAACCGTTCGTCCATTCTTCCATAGCAACGTAAATACTCCCACCACATATTGCACTCTGTGGACAGGCAGTATGAGTACACTCGGGCACACACACACACACACACACACCCACACACACACACACACACACACTGGCATGCACAAACACACAGTCACTCACAATTACAGATACCAACCCAGCATTGCTGTTAATCCCATCACCCCCAGCTGTCAAAATCAGCCCTCCAACCAATCCCCGTCGCTCAGCCCAGTGCTCAAGTCTCTGCAGGATTTCTTGAGAACCTGTAGGCTGCAGGTTTATGCAGAGCTGTGATGTGAGTGCTCTTATACTGGCTATTCACCAGGGAGCGCGTACCTTCTCAGGCTCTGGCGAAAATTGTACCTGTTCTTTTAAGTGCTAGTGGCAAGCACATTCAGAGCAGTATTAAGTCATGTGTAAGGTCCCTGGTAACAGTAGTTGTGCTGCCAAAAGGATAATTCAGTAGTTGGCTGTGGAAAAGCTGCATTCTGTCTGCTGTACTGTATGTTAAGGATTGTTGCTGCTCTGCACACTTCTCTCTCTCCCTCGCTACCCTCTTTATTTCCCTTTTGCTCTCAACACTTGTTTCAGCTTTTTTCCCTCACTCTTTCATGTCTCCCGTTGTGTGTTATGCACAAATATCACTGTTGTAGTCCTGTGATCTCAGCAATGCACAGGATAGACAGGTTGTGAGACCAGTCATTATGCTGCTTCCGCTACCTGTGAGGGCCTAATGATAAAAATAGACCCATGCTGGGAACATGAATATTTAACTTAATGCGGGCATCTTTTTTCTCTCTCTCTCCCCCCCCCCCCCCCCCCACCCCCCCTGCGTTTGGGACAGTAGTTGTAAGAGGTTGGCGGCAGGTTGGAAGCATGACCATCTTTAGAAGTGGGACAAATTGGAACCATCAAGGGCAGGATACAAAGCGTGACGTGAAGCCAGAATGCAGCTTGTCTTAAGTTCACATGATTACGTGAACATTTATGTCTCTGTGTGCTTCTCACTTTTAACACTGTAGATTTCACTGTCTGATTTACATCTATGTGCACGCATCCAAGTGTGTGTGTGTAGAATGGTGATTTAAAGCTCATAATGGGCACATGCTAATGTGCTGAAAAGTGTGTGTGGTTCTAGCTCATTGCCTCTCCACAGCATATATAGCTGTCAGACTGTTCCATATGTCATGCCTTCCCTTCCTATCCATGCTAAAGTATGTTCAGATATAAGTTGTGTGCATGTAATGTGTGCAGAGCCATGTTGGGACGGTCAGAGAGGTGAATTTAAACCACCCCACCACCGCCACCTCCTCCCAACACATCCCTGTCTCTAACTCTGGCTCACTCTCTTCCTGTCTCTCTTTTTGTCATTCTGCAGCAGCAGTATCTCTCAGGATAAGACCTCATTCTCACACACATGCGCACACACACACCACTGTTTTCATTCCTTGTGAGGACTTTACATTGACTTGCATTCATTTCCTGTAGACTTATTCTAACCTTGACCATAACCACTACTTTCTAACACCTGACCCTAACCTCATCCTCATCCTAACCCTAAACCATGTTGCCAGCCTAAAATTCAGTCATTTCCTTGTGGGGACCAGAAGCTGGTCCCCACAGTGTGAGTGTGTTAACAGGTCTCGGTCCTCATGATGTAAGTAATACAAAGGCGCGCACACACACACATCCAACCAACCACCCCCCACCCCCACCTCTTTCATATGAATCACAGCTCTGCTAAGCTAGCTGTGCGACAACCTGAATAACTCTGTTTAGTCATCAGTACTATGCAGCGCCAGAGGAGCACTTCTCGCATCTCTACAGTGGGAATGTCGGAGGCTGTCGCTGTTCCCTTTCCCCTGGTGCTGAAAGCCGCTATCCTCCTCTCTCTTGCCCGACTCCTCCAGCATGTATCTCCAGGAGCGTGGGGCTGTGCTGTCCAAGGTGCTGATTTATAGTCTTCATTACATGGCTGGGTTACAGCCCAGGAGAGGACAATGCAGGGAATTACATACAGCATAAGGTCTGCACACACTCAGACTGTGTTTGTTCTTAGGGGTGTATTTTTGCACTGCACGCCTTTTAGGCATGAAAAGATGAAAGGCATATTTCTCAGGAAAAATAAGAAAAAAGGTTGTAAGGAAACAAAAATGAAGTGAATGCATGTTGATTCATGGCCAAATTGTTGCTCTCCCACCATATTGTTAAGTATCTGCAGAGTTTTTCACTTTGGAGCAGTGAATAGCTGACACGTCAGTGGCGCAGGGAGGTCGAATGCAATCAAGAGTTGAAGGGAAGGTGAAGTTTTAGTGATCCATTTGCAGCACAAAAACTATTTGATGTTTGTTCAAAGGGGGAAACTGTTAACATCTGAAAAATGGAGTAGAGACTGATGCAAAGGAGGATGGTGTTGAAGAGTTATTAATTTACCCCCTGCCAGGTGTAGGATGATGCTGTGTTCTAGAGTTACATTTAGAGAGTACCATTTTACGTATTTTCAGTTTTGCAACAAATATATTACATCTACTGAATAATGACAAGCTTTGATTCTGGCATCATTACAGTGATGAGCTACAGCGCGAACAATGTTTGCTTGGACAGTCAGCACTCTCTTTGTGTGTGGCGGAGCTGTTATTGTTCGACTGCCTGCGTTCTTGTTAACAAGCAAAAGTGATTTCATGCTACTTCTCCAAATTTTTGTCTGCAAGTTTTCATGTATGTATTCAGTTGCTCATTAATGTGTCATTTCAGTTTATTCACTCAAGTTTAATGAGATTTTATTCTTCTTTTTATTTATTTTTTTTTTTACACATGCACTAATAGAATATTGCTCATGAGTTCTGTCTAGATAAAAACTCAGCAGTTCAGCTGACAGCTAATAGCCAGCTCACTCCAGATAGATCACAGTGTTCTCTGGAGGCTTATGTATGAAACATTTAAGCATTACTGCCGGTGTTAGGTAATAGAGCTTTGTTTTCTAGATGCATATTTGAACAGCTGGAGTCAACATTGTTAATAAATACACTGAATTTCCTGTGAGTGCTTCACAATGAAAGCCACTGTGTTTTAGCAGTTGAGCACTTTAATTTGAAGCGGCAACGGTAGGAAATGTTTGGTTTGCATTAGCGCTAAGTGAATACAGCTCTGATAAGGTGTTAGAAGAGTTAACAGTAAACGGTGAGGTTGCTATCAGTGAGATAAAATTACGAACAGTAACACTTACGTACGTGCATTGTTTCTTGTGAATCCCCTGTGTGTAGGCAAGTAATTGGAATCCCACATTGAAATGGTGGACTCTGCCAATAATAATAAAAACTACATAGTCACAGAATGTAAATACATAGACTGGCTAATGCTGAAAAAGATTCAGGTCATATAGCATCAAAAACGTTATCCTTTCCTGAAACTCTTAAGGGTTGTAGCTTTTAAATACATGGATTACACTTGAAAGACTGGTGCTGTGATTAGATGTCCCTTCCTGCTTTTGAATCACTTTCACCTCAGCTGCCATCAGACTTGGGTGTAAGCAGTATCCATCCATGCAGAGCTTTACCTTGTTATGTATATATGACTTGATTTCAGACATGAGGCAACAACCTGAGGGCAATGGCCTATGGCACTGCAGACACATACAGTGAAAACTAACATCAGTAGTATGCACGATATGGAAGTGAATTGGAAGATCATGGTGTTAAATGCATCAAACAGTGGTACAGTAACAGGTCACGTTATCTTTACCTGTTCATAGACCTGCAACTATTAGTTGTTAATTCATTTAAACAACTGACAGAAAATTAATCAGCAGCTATTTAGATAATCGATTTGTTGTTTTTAGTGAAAATGGCAAACTGTGTCATTTACTCAATGCGAGGAGCTGCTGCTTTTTTCTGTTGTATATCATACAACATCTTTGGGCTGCTGTAAAAATAAGAAATAAGACAACAAGCAATTGGAATAAATCTTGATCTGTGGGAAATGATTGGCATTTTCACTATTGTCTTACATTTTATAAACAAAACAATTGATAGATTAATCAAGGAAAGGAAAGGTTATTATTTCATAATGAAAATGATTATTAGTTGCTTCTCTCCATCCAGGAATCCATCTATCCATCTCCTCTCCTGCTAGTCTGTAGTTTTGGTTTAGGCTGTGAATAAGGTTGTAATGATGTTTTAGTTATGGCTGACTGCATAATACTGCAAAATGCTCCCTTGGGCCCTCTCCTAGGGAGACAGTTGTTGTGCATGCTCAACGTCATTATTCTCTGTCTACCCGCTCTGCGACTTATCTACTGTGAATGGAGAGAGAGAGAGAGCAGAAATGCACTGTAAGTGAGAGAGATTGCTGGCTAATACAGAACCACAGGCACTTGTTACTCAGAAAAGCAGCTCTCTGGCTGCGCACAAAAGAAAAAAAAAAAAAGCGTTTTCAGTAACTTAGTGCCTAAGAGTATCATCTCCACACGAGCAGACAGACACATAGACCTATTGAAATATGTGGTAGGGTACTGTATTGGTCAGATTTGTACTTCATT